TTATACCGATAAATATCACAGTGAATGTCAGTCTATTCTCATCCACAGAAACACATTGATTTATACTATCCTAATGAAAAGACTAAATATTATGCATTATAGGAAGGAGTGTAATGCAAACCATAATTCTGAATTAAAATATCATCTCTCTCTCTCTTTCCCTCCCTTCCTCTCCCTCCCTCTCTCTCTCTCTGCCCTCCGTTGTTGTGTATGCTGTGTAATTTCCATTGATAGCAGTCCAGAATGGGAAAATATACCATGACATAATCTACAACAGTGTATCTCAACCATGACAGCTTGAAGATGTGTGGACTTCAACTCCCAGAATTCCCCAGCTGGGAGTTGAAACCCACACATTTTCAAGCTTCCAGGGTTGAAATATACTGTGCTAGCAGTAAATGATACTGTGCAGTAGAGAAGGGGATTGGCACTGGGATATAATTTCTGTCATTTCCAATTTCATATATGTGGCCAAATTCCACCCTAACAATGAAAAATATTAGGTGTTATGACTTCCATGCAATTTTAAATCATTCCACGCCAGTTTCGATAGGTTAAGGTGTTTGCATTGAGTCATACCCATAACACAACCGAGTCGATTTCCTTCATAAAGCTGTGAAGAAAAGGTGACCCAGAAAATGCTGAATTTAAAGTAATCTTGCTATGGTCCAGAGCAATTATAATTAAAGCACTACATATTTTTCTCTCTTCTCTCAATTGTTCTTGTGTTGTTTCAAACTTGGCAACTTTAAGATACTCCCTGGGTTATGACTAATTTCCCTAGCAAAGTGCCATTTCAGTAGCATTGTGTTTGTTCTGCATATAATGATATTATTCTAAAGATATAGTTTATCTTGCATGTAATGTGGAATGCTGGTTTCAATAGCCCCCCAAAGCAGTGTAGGTACTTTGAAAATAAAATAAAATAATGTTTGTTCTTTGCAAACGGCAGTTAATGTTGGAGGGGGCTAATTTCAGCCAATTGAGCCCCATGCAAAAGGACAGCCATTCTGTGAGCTATTTGCCAAGTTACAATGACTTTCAACGCTTCTTAGAATCTCTTGCAGTACTTTTCTTCTAATGATCACTAATTAACTCTGGGAACTTTGCATTTTCTCTCCCCATTCTTCCTCGCTCTTTATCTTCTTTATTTTGTTTTCCTCTTCCAGGGGGAGAGGGGAATGCCAGGGCTGCCAGGAAAACAAGGAGTTCAGGTATTCTGCAAGGAATGGAGTCTGATTTACTCTAACCCATACCTTTCAATTGTTCTCCTATGTTTTGCATATGACTCCAACCTGGTGTGTGTATATGTTTCTTTTACACGTATATATATATAGGTTGCATAGAAAGAGTTGCACCACTCCGTGACTCTTTAAAGCAGCTAGGTCTTCTCCCAAGGCCAATGTCGTTAGATCAGAGAGCAGAACAAAATGGTACCTCAGAACTGCCCAACCTTGGCAACTTTAAGATTTGTGGACTTCAACTCCCAGAATTCCCTAGCCAGGATGGAGAACTCTGAAAGCTGAAGTCCCCAATCTTAAAATTGCCAAGGTTGGCAACCTTATGCTAACCTAGTTAAGTGCTACATCTGTCACACTAAAATCCTCTGCAGTTCTTTTATGGAATCAGATCCAAATCATTGCACATCATAAAGTTCAATTTAGCAGAGAAAGAACAAAGAAGAAATGTTGAACAAATGGCATGTTCATTCCTGCATCTCCATTGTATAAATAAGAAAAAGAAAACTTGCATATTCTCAGATATGCACTGAAATTTCTATGTAATTCATTAATGTGACCACAAAACAAGTCAGGGATTTCTTTGGCCATTATATATTACATTGTAGAAATGAACTACATTTGATGCAAGTTCTAATATTTTATTACTTTTTCGGGGATAAGAGTTGCACTGAAGCTTGTGCTTTGGTTTAAATCGATGTTTGGCTTAGGTTTAACCGTCTGTACATCAGGCACTCAAGAATGCACATTTTCTAAAACATTTAATTTTTTTAAAAAAATAAATATATCTATTTGACAAGGACTGACATGCCATTTCTTCAATTAAATCTATCATCCAAAATTTGTTTTTCTGCCTAGCACCCTCTTCATCCTTCTAGCCCATAGGTACTAACCCTTACTCACATCTGATTCATTTCTTACTATTTCTTCCATCTGTTTATGACATAGAATCCCTGATTTCCATCTTCTGTCCTTGTGTTTTTTAGCTTTGTCCCTGATTTCTGTTTCAGAAAGTTGAGAGGTATGATCCTTCTCCCCTGTTCTTCTATCTCTATCTGCCTGTTTCATTCCTCTTCTGGTTTGCAAGCTCTTCTCTCAATGACCTTCTGATTGGGCTCCTCCGGAAGCCATACCTTTGTTGTTCATCTTTTGCATGAAAGCCTCCAGACCTATCATCCCAGTTCTAACCATAAATCGTCCTACCTATTCCTACTTCTTTCCTTCTGCCTACTCTTGTTATTCTTACTGATACAGGGTTTTTCAAACTTGGCAACTTTAAGACGTGCGGACTTCAATTCCCAGAAATTCCCCACTCAGCATGCTAGGGAATTCTGGGAGTTGAAGTCCACAAATCTTAACATTTTCAAGTTTGAAGATCACTGGCCTAACAGATACTAAACACATTACTAATTCGCAGAATATGCGGCTCTTTCACCAATATAGCCATAAAGGATTTTGCAGCTGGGTATGCCCTCGTTTTGTCTCATCTATTTGATTTTCTTAGTTGTTTTTGCTTACTACTTGGTATCATTTTTAAAATTCATGAAGCTGATTTCCTATTTTGTACTTTCTTCTATGGGGCTGTTCCCCACTGGGAGATGCAGTCAATTGGGACTGCCTGAAGCGGGCAGAAGGTTTACCCCAAAGATGAACAAAATAATGTCAGCTGTTTTAACATTGCTCCTCATGTTGAAAAATACACCTAAGAGCAGCAGAAAAGAGTCTGCTCATATATGATTCATTTCCTTGCCATGTCCTTTGTAAGCACCTTCCAAATAGATTGAAATATTATAATCTAAACATTCAGAGTTGTCTTCTGGCCCTGATACACATGATGTATCATTTTTATCAGGCTCATCCAGCTTTATGTGCAACATTACATCCAGCAGAGGTTTGGTTGCATGGCTGTGGCCACCGTCATGACTTTGGGGAGCTTCCCCGTCCCCCATTTATTTCTCTGATTGTATTAGATAGACAGGGCGGGCTTCAAATTTTTTTAGCTAGGGTTCTCTGCCCAGTTGCTGGGTGGGTGTGGTCATGGTGGGTGGGGCCTGGTCGGCCTCCTGAACCACAGTAGTGGTGGAGGATATTTTTGCCTTCCCCGGACTCCGGAGGCTTTCCTTGAGCCCCCGAGAGGGCAAAAACAATCTCCCAGGGCTCCGGAGGCTCTCTGGAAGCCGGAAACAGACCCATTTCTGGCCTTCCCGAACTTCCGGGAGGCCTGCTTTTCACCCTCCCTGAGCCTCCCCACGCGCCCTGCACTTACCTGCATTCAAAACAGGCTGTGTGGGGACTCCTGGGAGGGATGGAGCCAGCCAGGAGTGGGATTTGGGGGTTCTCTGAACTGTACAGAATCTTAGCTAGCTTCTACCAAACCCCTGCAGGCCACCCAGAGGTGGGATTCAATTTTTTTAACAACCGGTTCTGTGGGCATGGCTTAGTTGGTGGGCGTGGCTTGGTGGTCATGTGACTGGGTGGACATGGCTTGGTGGTCATGTTATTGGCTGGGCATGGCCAATTCAATATATCACTCACATCAAGGCACGCATCTCCTCCCCTGGCCTCTCATGACTGTGGGGATGCTGCAATAGTCATAAGTGTGAAAAATGGTCATAAGTCACTTTTTTCAGTGCCATTGTAACTTTGAATGGTCATTCCACACAAGCAAAGTACCAGCAAAGAAGGGGAAAAAAAACTCCAGAGAAATTCCTGAGACAGGAAGTCTAGTCCTGCCAAGAATGTAATAAGGGTTAACGGAGAGGCAGTTTCTGTAAGCAACACCACAATGTTTCCTTCCTGCCTTCCTTACAGGATTAGGCCAGTAATTTCTTCTAACAACTGGTTCTCCGAACTGCTTAGAATGTTAACAACCGGTTCTAGCGAATAGGTGCGAACTGGTAGAATCCCACCCCTGGATAGATATACTATTAAGTAGTAAAATTGTAAATTTGTAAAATTTAAAAAAATTGTAAAATTGTAAAAATAACCTTTATGATAGATAGTATGATATAAAAGGAAGAACTACATATTTTAACACATGCTTTAGCTCAGGATGCTCCAACCATGGCAATTTTAATACTTTGCAGTTCAACTCCCAGAATTCTCCAATCACCTATGCTGATTGGGGAATTCTGGGAGTTGAAGTCCACAGGTCTTAAAGTTGCCAAGGTTGGGCACCCCTGTTTTAGATATTGATGAAGCTTAGACTTCCTATACCATAAGAATCCTAGTTAGAACTGGGTTTGGCAATTTTCTTGTCAGGATAATCCCCAAGAATTTTTTCTGGTAGATGAGCACCTATATAAGTTTGTTTTAAAATGCTGTAGCACTTTTATATGAGAAAATAGAAAGGGAAATGCCAATGTTCTGGTTTTCTCTATATCTTACTCATTAGATATGTCTTGAAGGGGGATTTTTTCAAGGAATTACAAAGGAATAATAACTTTGGGTGCCCCATGTATTCCTCACGACTTCCACACACAAATTTAAATATTAATCCAAACTCAACTATCAACTTTCCCATTCTTCCAGATTTCATTTTATTTTCTAAAAAGTTGTTGATCCAGTTATAGCTGAATAAAATTTTACATTAGTGAATTTTCTGTGTGAGATTTAGTGGACTTTAAACAGATATAAATAGAATTTGAAAGAAATCTGAAATGGTCATGGACACAAAGTTTTTGACACAAAAAGTCCATTACACGGGGAAAGAGCTATCTCATTTTCTCAGTATATTTTTCCTTTTTTTTTTTTCTAATGCAGGGTGAACCCGGGAATCCAGGAGCAAAGGTAACACACTTTTAAAAAATTAATCTGTTCTAAATTTGTTCAGCTATATTTTATTTTAATCTCTTGAGTGGATCTGGTATTATAATAACCAGTATGTGAATAACCAATTAAAAATATGTTGGATATCAAATATGTTAGATATCAACTGGGATAGTAGGCTTCTTCTGTTTGCTGTGTAGCAGAGGTCTCCAAACTTGGCGACTTTAAGACTTGTAGACTTAACTCCCAGAATTCAGTCAGCCATGCCGGTTGGGGAATTTTGGGAGTTGAAGTCCACAAGTCTTAAAATCACTATGTTTGGAGACCACTGCTCTGGAGGGACAAAAAAGGAGAGAGTTATCTCCAAATTATACTTACTACCCCCTTGTTCATTACTCATGCAGGGTTGTTCCTTGCTGGAATCTTTAGTACTAAGAAATCCAATTAACTTATTGTGGGATCTTCCTTAGAGGAATAAGAGCTATTGTGGTGTGGTGCCTCATGTTTGAATCAAGAAATCCATCATTCATTTGTCTTACAATCTTAGCCAAACCACCATCTCTTAGCTCTTCTCTTCCTTTCCAGTCTACCTTAGAAAAATACTAACCGTAGTCAGTTTACAAAGATAATATATATGAATTGCTCTGACTGCTTCAAAGCATTATCCAAATATTATTGTGGTTACTATGCTTATCAATACTTTTTTAAAAATCATATTTTCATGTTGGTGCTCTTATTATTTATATCTGTATGATGCTTAGGTGGAGTGTTGGGTAGAAAAACATACTGTATACATATATATACCCATCATATATAAGGGAAAGCAATCTTAAGGGAAATGGAGAAAGGAAATATATTGTTTGATACAAAATGAATCTAAATTTATCCCTTGTGAAAATTGCTGAGAGAATTGCTGGGGGAAGGCTTGTTCTATATTTGGTTTTTGGATATGCTGCACTACCTTTCATTATTCCTACATAATACCTACATTATTGTGCCTTTTTTTTCCCTTACGAAAAAATTAAAAAGGGAGAACATGGAATTTCTGGGAAGATGGGCCCCCCAGGTTTGCCTGGAAAAAGGGGGTACAGGGTAGGAAAAGATGCAAAGCTTGGATTTTGTTTGTCTGCATTGTCCTTCTCAACAACCCATGATTCTGATCCGAGTGCTGTGAGCTAAATTTTCCAAGTTTATTTATTTAGTTTGTCAAACACTTACAATATAATAGAAATAAGAATAAACATAAGCTTAAATACAAGAAATTGGAACTAATAATTGGGGACATTAGAACAGGGACGGTAGGCACGATTGTGCGCTTATGCACGCCCCTTACAGACCTTTTAGGAAAGGGGTGAGATCAATAGAGGTTAGTTTGAGGGTAAAGGAGTGGGGGTTTGAGCAGGTGACAACAGAATCAGGTAGTGAGAAAGTTGGAAAGACATTTTTCCACTGCTTACGTGGCTGAAATGTAACTCAAAAGTCAAGGCCACCAAAACTAATTTTATTTTTGATCAATTTTGGTTTTTAATTGAAAGTAAGAAATAAATGTCTTGGCATGCTGAAAGCTTCATAGCAGTGTTATGATGTAGCATGGTTTTTGCATGGATTTATATCTTTCTATGTTCTGTGCTCTTTTATTCTCGGAAGGAAACATTATAAGATCTTTCCACAAGAATATGTGCTAGATGGATTCATTCTGGGCTGGAGTACAAACACCAAGATTCGTTACTCTCTTTAAGATTTCAATTGTTTTATTTATGTACATTTTTTTTAAAAAAAAGTCATTTCCAATTAAATATGATAACATATTTTACAAGCATGTGTTTCAAAATCTTCAGGAATTCCTAGAAACAGATAATTGCCCTTTGTGGCCAGATAAAATCCTCTCCATGCAATGAAAACCTAAATGCCTAAGCCCTTCCCCTCTGCAGCCCAGAAATTAAATTATTGTCTAGGTAGTTAGACCTAAGGCAGGGATGAGACATTCATATGAGCACAATTATTTTTGTCAGATAATAGCAGTGCCTTGATTTTAGTATCTACTGAGACTTATTAGTCTCTTCCCTCCAGTGTTAATCTAATATGTTATGAAGATAAGTTAATGTACTTTTCTTCAACATTATTAATGAATGATAATGAACTGGTACATTACACTAATTCATAGAAAATATGTGTAATACATTAAAAGTGCTTGGGAGGGGGAGAAAGCTGCTAACATTCACCCAAGAGTAACTTGGGTAAAAAGTTGGTCTAATGATGCAATATGAGGTGCCTCTCAAACATTGTGGGGAGTGAGGTGCCTCTCAAACATTCTAAAGATCCTGTGCTTTTCTGGAGGAATTCCAACCATGAATGATTTTAAAATAATCCCAAACATTCATGACACTTATAGTGGGACTTAAAGTTATTTTAATCATTATGTAAATATATGCATTACAACAGTTTAAATTGAAGCTAGCTTGTCCCTGTCCAGGAAAGGCCAAGGTTGGTATTAGGCCTTTAATAACAATGATGGCAATTGGAGAACCTCTATGCTCCAAAATTTGGAGTCCAAATCTGTTCCTTCTGAAGTAATATAACCCCAATGGAAACAGGAGGTCAGCATTTCCTATATCTAGGATCTACTTATCAAAAGGTCTCCAAATTATCAGGGCTCAGGCTAAATGTAATCCTAATGCAAACACCCACATTTTGATCACGTGACGGTCAGAATGCTCCAACCTTCGTAAGTGTGATGACCGGTTGTAAGTCACTTTAGTTAGTGCTTTCATAACTTCAAACACTCACTTAGCAAATGGTTGTAAGTTGAGGACTACCTGTATGTAATTCGCATTATTTGTGCAATGACATCATGTTGAATGGGATATCAACTTTCTCCCCTCCCATCACAGATGCCCAAGCTCTCCAGGAAAAAAAGATACTAGTTTTTCCCTAACACCATCACTCTGCTAAACAAACAATTCCCTCACTGTCCAACTATTTACAATGTCTATTACTATTAATCTTCTCATCACTCCTTATCACCCATCCCCTCCCACTTGTGACTGTATGACTCTAACTTTGTCACTTGCATCCTTACTATTTATATTGACTGTTTCCTAGTATGATTTGATTGCTTATTGTACCCTATGACTATTATTAAGTATGATTCTTGATTCTTGATGAATGTATCTTTTCTTTTATGTACACTGAGAGCATCTGCACCAAGACAAATTCCTTGGGTGTCCAATCACACTTGGCCAATAAAGAACACTATTCTATTCTATTCCAGTTTTGCTGAGAAATCCAGGTTGGATTTATTTTGAAAATCTGGATTTTCTTCCTGATGAAAGCTTGTAAAAGGCAAAAGTAAACTATGAAGAGGATGTTATATTATGCTCTTTTTCCAATCCCCATTACAAGATAAAATAAATCATAGCATCTGGCATCTGTTCTTACTGGTTTTTCTTCAACAGGGTGAGAAAGGGACACCTGGTGATCCAGGACCTTCTGGAACCATGGGGCAAAAGGTCTGTTTTGTTATCTAAGTGGGGAATAAGGAGAGTGGCATATTTTATTTTATTGAAAGCCAAAATATTAATTGCTGGGCATCACATATATAAAAATTGGATATATATATATATATATTTGTTAAGTTTTCGCGGGTACTTACATGTATGGTATTCAGCTTTGTTCGGGTATTTTCCCACATCATTATAGTTGTGCTTTTAAAGTTGTAGCAACATTTCGGCAGAATCTCATCTGCCATCATCAGGCTTCTGTATTGTGTTTGTCTGTGTTGTGTTTGATGATGGCAGATGAGATTCTGCCGAAATGTCGCTACAACTTTAAAAGCACAACTATAATGATGTGGGAAAATACCCGAACAAAGCTGAATACCATTGTATTGTTTTGGTTAATCAAAGGACAGGCACTCAAGCAACTGAGCCTGCCTTGAATGTCTTTGATGTTTTACTGATCAACTACGTAAGGTCACCTTTCCCAAGTTGCTAACAACTTGATACAGGTAGTCCTCAACTTATAACCATTTGTTTAGTGATCATTCAAAATTATAACGGCACAAAAAAAAGTAACTTGCAATCTTTTTTGCACCCATGACCCTTGCAGCATCCCCATGGTCACATGATCAAAACTGGGACGCTTGGCAACTGGCATGCAGTTGTGATGGTTGCAGTGTTGCAAGGTTGCACGTGATCACAAATATGTCCAAACAGTTGACTATCACCCTTTGCGACCTTCTGACAAGGAAAGTCAATGAAGGAAGCCAGATTCTCTTAACAACTGCAAGCGATTGGCTTAACGGCTATGGCAAGAAAGATCGTACAATGTGGCGAAGCTCGCTTAACAGCTGTCTTACTTAGCAACAGAAACATTGGGCTCAATTGTGGTCATAAGTCGAGGACTACCTCCATTCTCCCAATGTGTTGAGACTTCTGGAGTTCCCTGAGTTGCAATTCCATCATATCTGCAGGCAACAAATTGCCTTCAAATAAGGAAAATAAGGTTCATTAATATTACTCATTGCTCGTTTTGTTCAATTCTCTTAAGGGCGAAAAAGGAGATTCTAGCAATGCACTTGGAGGTGGTAAAGGAGAACCAGGAACCCCAGGACTGCCAGGGCCTCCAGGACCAAAGGTGATGAATGTAGTGGAAAAAATGTTCAGAAGTGGGCTAGAAATGACTACATATGCATATAGTGGGTATATAGTTTATGTAGTGCATTGGGTAGATTTTCTATTGAGAGAGAGCAAGAGAGCAAGAGATTGTCATCAAATATTTAGTTGCCAAACAAATAGAAAACTACTCTTTAGTTTCTTCAAGGTATAAAATTCCCTACTTCTTTTATCCTGCTTGCTTCACTTCTTAATGGGCAGAATGGGACAACTTGTCATGGCCAACTTTCTGCAGTCAACTTGTCATGGCCAACTTTCTGCAGTCAACTTGTCATGGCCAACTCACCCAGTGGTGGGATTCAATATTTTTTTTACTACCAGTTCTGTGAGCGAGGCTTGGTGGGCATGGCAGGGGAAGGATACTGTAAAATTTCCAGTCAGAGGTGGTATTTGCCGGTTCTCCGACCTACTCAAACTTTCCGCTACCCGTTCTCCAGAACTGGTCAGAACCTGCTGAATACCACCTCTGAACTCGCCATCGCCAACTCGCCGCAGGACAAGGCAACAATTCTGTTTAATTATTTAAAATAATTTTAAAAATATTTACATTTTTGTCATTCACCTTTCATTTTGTCCCTCCTTTGGCATCCTTTATTTAACAATTCTATTCCACTATTTTTTTGATACGGTATTAGCGTAACTCTTGTCTCTCAGTGAGCGGGCCTGTGGCAAGTTGGCCATGGCAAGTTGTCCCATGGTGAGTTGGCTGTAGTGAGTTGGCTGCGGTGAATTGTCCTAGAAACCCTCAGAGGAAGTGTTTTCCAAGTGTGTAGACACTCGATCAGGAGAACAGCTAAGTGGAGCAGGACAATTGTGAGTGAATATCTTCAACCAAAGAGCTGCTCAGGAGAATAAATGCCATCCCCTTGTAGTAAGTGAATCAATGAGTTGACCAGTTAATATGAAACACACAACACACATCTACAGTAACAGGCAGTTCATGTTCATGCAGACTTACATGATGATATATTAATGTGGAGAGAGACTTAAGGCAGTTCCATGGAACAGGTGTTTCCATCCCAAAATCCCTCAAGAGTACATTTATAAACTGGCCCACAATCATCTTCCCTATTTCCAAGCTCAGAACACAGCATGTAGAGAGTCCTGTAATCCAATCAATGCTTTCCAATTGTTCCCCAAGTGGAAAATAGAAGGAACATCATTCAATCAGTCTGCTCCCTCATGATTACGTCTGAATGCATTATATTTTAAAGCAACATAATTTCCAAAGACCTATGACAGTATGTGGTTAAAATCAGATCACATTATAGTAATTCAATTATTACTATATAAATTTATATATCAATAATACAAGTAAAATAAATATAAAAATGGCCTCCAGTAAGCAGAAGTCAGTTCCTGCAGGCTCCATTTTGCCAGCTATTGGATGCAAAATGGACACGATTCTTGTCTTGCTGAAAAGGGGCATCACTGAACTTTTTGTAATTTTGGGGAAATCTTTTCACCTTGAGATTACCATCATTTTACTTTTTTTGTATTAAAACATACTTCTTATTTTCTGCTTGTTTTTGTTTCCTCAGTTAGAAGTTTCTGGTTCTCTTCTTTGTCTGCCAGATTACAATATCATCAGCGTATCTTAAACTGTTTTATTTTTATACCATCTATTGACAATTCCATTACATGCTGAATTAATCAAATATTTCTCCATAGACGTTGAAAAGGTGGGGGCAATAAGACACATACCGAGTGGTCTTCTTTATTGGATTGAAAACTCCTTTGAAAAACGTCCTTCAAATAAACTTGTTCCCAGTATATATTATTTTAAATAAATACATACGTTTTGTCATTAGAGTGACAAAAATGTATGCAAGGGCAGCTTGATAAACTATATATCAGGGGTGGGGGATGATGGCCCTTTTATGACTTGTGGACTTCAACTCCCAGAATTCCTGAACTAGCATAGCTAGCTCAGGAATTCAGAGTTGAAGTCCAAGAATCATATAGGGGCCATTGCTTCTCACCTCTGCTCTATATAAACAAAAAATATTAAATCCTTCTAAATATTTCCAGGGACTAAACTGCCATTTCTGTATTATGTGTGCTGAATTCATGTATCACAGTCCCTAAAATCCAACCCAGTGCACTTTAGCCAAGCAGGATTTATAAAGCCAGCTGCTTTGTGCGTGACAAGAGTGACAATTTCCTCACCGAATAGATTTCCATGGACACACATACTTTATTAATGCAGTAGTATTAATCCCGAACACCTGTTCCTAACCATATATACCTTATTTTAGGGCCCCAAGGGTGAACCAGGGAAGAGTGAAATGGTAGACTACAATGGCAATATCAATGAAGCTTTACAGGTAAGGAAGTAGGAGATATACAATAGACACCAGATTATCATGTCAATGCTTCTGTGAACCTTTTCATTAATTATTGCAATTTGCTATTGATTGATTGATTATATGCCATCAAGTCATTTTAGACTCCTAGCAATCATGTAGATTTTCTCTGTGATCATAACTTACCTGTTGTTGGAGGTCTCCCAATGGTGTATTCATTGCCAAAGGAACTGAATCCATCCATCTTGCTGCTGGTTGTCCTCTTCTTCTGTTTCCTTTATCGTCTTCTCTTTCCTTTGTCTTCTCTTTGCTAAAGTCCTCTCCTTCTTTCCAATAATGCTTGTTCTCTTTCCTGCAGTCCTTTTCTCTTCCTCTAATGCTTTCTTCCTCTTCTTCCTCTTTCTTATAGTCCTATTCCTCTTTCCTCTTTGCTTACATGCAGAATAATTGGGGGGGGGGGTTACATATATATTGTGCTGTAGCGTATGATTAAATCACATACTTTATTTATTCTATTTTACTCTTCCTTTTTCTAGAAACATAAATAATGATGGTAGCGTTGAATATATGGGTCTAGACCAGGGGTGGGCAACTATGGCCCTTTTATGAATTATGGACTTCAACTCCCAGAATTCCTGAGCAAGCCATGCTAGCTCAGGAATTTTGGGAGTTGAAGTCTGTTAGGGATAACATTGTTTACCTAACTTAGTTTGGATAAAAAATAATATATAAACTATGTTAGTTAGTTTAAGTATATGTATCACTTTAAACTGTAAACCAAGTTTTTGGGTGCGGTTGTAAAATCACCATATGAGGGAGCAAGAGAGCTCACTGTTTCCCTGGCTTATACTGAAATGCTGACAATGAAGGATTGATGGTGATAAACTGCGTGTTTGCTGAGAGAAGAAAAGGGGTTTGATTTTTCTTCATATCTCTGACTGCAAAAGAGATATATCACTGGACTGATTGATTGTAAGTTTAATGAACTCTTTTTCGACACTGGACTTTGCAAACTGAATAACCCCCGGACTGACTGAACTTAGTGTATGACATATGGACTGTTTTGACTATGCTATAACTCTTGCTGGAATAAAAACTATTTAACTTGCACAGTGTATCTGTCTTACTGAGTGTAAGCTACTACAATGTTTTGTCTCACATATCTGCCTGTCTGCTAGACTGCCGTTGCACGTTCTGCTAGGGTGTATATCCCTAACAAAGTCCACAAGTCATAAAGGGGCCATAGTTGCCCACCTCTGGTCTAGACTATTGTTATAGACTGAATGGCACTAGCTAATTATATCACTTCTCATATCATTCCAAAGTAAACCCTAATCCTATGAAATAGGTATTGGAAACAACAGGTGGAAAGACACCTGTGCATTAACTGGCAGATTGATTGTCTGAAAAAAATAAAATGAAATAATTTAAATCATACCTTACCTATCATACTGTAGCATCTATGATAGACATATAGGTACAGATAATGTTTAACAAACAATTGTTCTTTCATTCAGGAGATACGAACATTGGCCCTCATGGTGAGTTAATCTTCTTTTCTATAAGATGTGGTTCTTAATAAAAACTCAGTTAAATAGGGGAATCGGGCTAGCAATTCCGACAGAATGATGTATTATAAATGCCACCCATGAATAAATGGGGAATTCATCCTTTCCTAGAGTGATGGGTTAGATATATAAGCTTTC